GCCCCCGAAGGCCGAGTCCCAGCAGCTGCCCGAGGCCGAGATCAACGCGGCATAGGCGGCAAATCGCTGGGCTAAGCAGGCCTGGGACACGACGCTGCACGAGCAGCTCAGGGCGGAGCAGTACTTGGCCGAGGTGCAGGAGAAAGTGCCTCCGCAAGGAGCGTGAAGTTCAGCGTGAGCTTGAAGAGGCCACCAATCGCCACGCCAATCGGGTTCTGACCAAAGGGCTGGCTGTTCCAGGCGAAAAGGAAAAGGCCCGGGCCAAGTAAGTTGTCCACATCGAGGCGTTCTTGACGGACTTTGAGCCCCTGGTGTTCGACGTGGGCGAGGTGGTGGACTTGTCCGGCCCAGAGTTCGCGGACTCGGACAGGTCTCAGTTCGACGGTTGGGTCAACACCCACAAGGAAAAATGCGCAGAGCTGCTCAAGAATGCCTTTGAGTCGGTTAAGGAGGAGCACAAGAAGCAGACGGATATGCTGGCCAAGAAACGACGTTTTGGCGCGGATGGCCAGGCAGCAGCAGGGTCAGGAGCCGCCAGGACCTGCTGCCCCCCCTGCCGAAGCGCCGCCTTCGCAGGAAGCCGCCGGCGCGGCGCGGGCGACGCCCGCACCTGGGCGGGGCCTCGACGAGACGCAGACGCGCAAGGGTGCGGCCCTGGAGGCGTCCAAAGCCCGTTTGGCCAACATTGCTGCCGAGGAGGAGGGCGCTGGAGCTGCGCGCCGAGAAGGTGCGCGACGTTCCTGATGGCGGCATCACTCTCGCCTATGGCAACATTAGCGCTTGAGACCCCCAGGCTGAGAAGAGGTCGAAGGAATGCGCATCAGATCTTGTTGTTGCGTTTGTTTGTGGAGGCGCGCGCTCGTGGCTCCAAGTTTCAAGACATGCTCGAGGCTGTTGGGGCGGCGCTAGTATCGTGCCCGCGGCGAGGCCGACTCCGCAGATGCTGGCGACTCCAGTGCAGGGGTATTGAGCCTGGCACGGAAGCATATGGGCAAGTCTTCATCCGTGCGTGGAGGCGGCTGGCGTTTGGCGGTCCAGCAGCTGTGTTCGACGGTGCGTTGCGACACTTCGCCTCAAGCATGTGTCGGCGGCGCTGGTGCCGATATGTTTGATCCCTGGCACAGGGTCGAGTCTCGCGCAACCTTCGCCTGCTGTTCGAGACCGGGGCCCGCCTAGCGTTGGTGTCTGGCCCATATTCTTGGTTGGTGGTTGGCAGATGGAGCTGGCTGACTTGGCGCCCACTGGCCTCGCGGGGGAGCTCGGGCTGACCGAGCTGCCGAGCGACGAGGTCGCGGTCGCTTGCGCCGGAGGGCGAGGCGCCGCTGGCAAAACCAACTACGCCTTGGCAAACGCTGGTTTTGCCCAGGCCGTCGAGTTCCACGGCCTCGACCGGGCGGCTCCGCGGGGCGCGGGCGCGGTGCTGAAGCGCACGATTGCGTCGAGACCTCGATGCATCCACGGTGGGGGGCTGGCGCCCCCTCGAGCCCTCGACGACGCGATGAATCTCGACGGCGCGGTCAACCTCAGCTGCGGCGGCGCGGCGGGGCAGGCCCGCTTGCTGAGGGCTGAGCGGCCCCATCGTTCCGAGTCGAATTTCAACGCTGCCAGGTCCGCGATTTCGCGGCATGACTTGCCGCGGGTAGCCCTGCAGCTCAGTCAGGGGCGCAGCGAGTGGGCCCTGGCGCCTGAGCGCGCACTGCGGCAGGAGGGGCATCCGTGGCGCCGATTGGGAACGGCGCCTGGGCCGCTGTCAGCAGCTTCGCATCCGCCGGGCGCCGATTGTACCCGAGAGTTCCCCAGGGCCCCCTTTTCAGCTGATAGGCGCGCCAGGTTCGGGGCTGATTTGTCGGCCCAGCTCGCGCGCGTTCTGCGCCTGCGCGATCCCGTCTGCGACCCCGACGAGGCGGCCGCCCCCCATCCGAAGCATGCGTCGCAATAGGGCTCTGTCGAGGGGGGTGAGTGATCTTCCCTCCCCGAGGCTTTGGATGCTGGGGATGAAGGGGAGGTGGCCGCTCTTGGAAGATGGACTAAGTGGTTGAGCCGGTCAGCGTCGCCGTCGGTCGAGTGTCACTCGGCGGTCTCAGGGAGACGCCCAGTCCAGGTCAGAGAGGGCAGCCAAGAGGGCGGCTGCGGAGGCTCGGCCGCGGTTGAAGGCGCGGATCTCGGAAGCCCCTTCGGGTTCAGCCTCTTCTGTGGACCGCCCGACCCGATTTTTCAATGGCGCCCAGCCACTGCGCCCAGTGAACTCCCGGTAGTCGAGTCGGAGGCACGCGGTGCTTTCTGGGGCCGTCGCTCCAGGATTGAAGCCCTGGAAGTTTTGGCGACCTGGAGTTTTGTAGCTCGAGCCTCGCCAATGCCTGAGCCCATCGCTGCCTCCCTGGCGGGGGCGACTTTGAAGGCGATGCCTGACCGTCGCGGCAAGGGCGCGGGCGCGGGCGCATTGTCGCCGCGCGCGGTCAAGGGCGCGCCTTCGGAGGCCACCGAGGCCCTGGCGAACCTCCTCGCTGTCAATTGAACGGGTGGCGGCGGTCCCCCGCCAGGGGCCCCCCCGCATCATTGCCCTTCTTGATAAGGCGGATGGAAGCTTTAGGCCCATTGCTTTCTTGAGCTCATGTTGCATGCCACTGCTACTGCATGGGGTCCGCAAGCTAG